ATCTAGAAACAAGAAAAAGCCTCAGACTTTTGTCAATTTTAATAGACATTTATTTCTTATTTGAAGCAAAAAGGATAAAAAAGCTGTTTAGTTACTAGGAGAAATCTAACAGTCAGGATGGGAAAAAATAGACTAATTTGAGGTTAAGGAACAAAATTATGTGACAACAGATGGAAGACAACAAGACAGGCATGGAAGAAGCAGAAACTGGTGCTCAAGCATGGTTTTGTTCATGAAAACATCAGGAGAATACAAAAGACTTGGTCTAATGGTAACCTCATTTGCTTTTCATTTTAGTGGAAAATGAGTTGCTACTCTGCATTAAACATGTAAAAAGAGTTTTATGTATGGGCTGGGCATCTCCTTAGGAAACAAGATCCGCCCCCCCCCCCCCCACACACACACACACAAGCAGGGGAGGGGCAAAAGAAGGAAAAAGAGAATCTGAAGTAGGCTCCACGCCCAGCACAAGCTCAATGAGGCCTCAATCTCACAACCATAAGATAATGACCTGAGTGAAAACCAAGTGTCAGACACTTAACGGATTGAGCCACCCTGGCACGCCAAGATTTTTTTAATATAAGGCTGTACAGAGGGAGTTAAAACTGAAAAGATGAGCATTCCTATCTGAGGAAGCAAGTTGACTTTAGAATTTATAGGCAGACTAGTCAAATTTACAGAAATAGACAGCACAGAACTCTTGGTTAAAAACAGGTTTGGTGTACTCTGGAAAAGTGATGCCTGTTTTCCAATCTCAAATTTCACTGTCATTTCTTCTTGTTACAATTTTAGCCTTGCACCTTTATATCTTCAATAATTTTTGTTAAATACCACACAGAAAACCACTTAACTGAGCCCTAATGATTTCAAATGCGACACTGTATTAGAAAGTTATCACACTCCAGAGTCTAGAACCTGAATAGACTTGTAGCTCTGTTGAAAATCTTGTGTAGCAATATTTTCCAAATTCTACCATAAGGGGCAGCATAGCACATGGAAAGAAAGGTGTGGGTTTTTTGTTTATTTGTTTGTTTGTTTTGTTTTGTTTTGTTTTGTTTTGTTAAATTAGGCAGATGTGGATTAAAATCTCTGGTCACTTACAGTGTCATTTTTGGTCTCTCTGTAACTTCTACTTACTTATCTATCACAGGAACTTGCAAACAGTATACGGGCTTAATAAATACCAATTCTTGACTGCCCTTACACTTGACTTTTAACATTAAGATGGTCTGAAATTTCTAATGTACATTATTACGTAGGTTCCCATATGAACAAATCTTTGGTGACTAGGGGGAAAAAAAGACTGTCCTAAGAGTTTTGATAGTTTCAGTATGTTTTCAAAGAAAAGACCAAGGCAAGGAAAGACCAAAAGTGGATTTTCTCATTAATATATTTGCATATACAGCATGTTCAGGAATGATTGAATAAGTAAGTATAGCTGGCGCCAGGGTATATTTAAGAAACTGCATCCCCCCCCCCCCAAAAAACAAACAAACACGTGAAAGATATGTTGGATAAAACTGTAAAGTAAAAGGCTAATCCCATTTTAACATTAAAAGGGGGGGGTTTAAAAATGATTCTTATACCACTACTCTTCTTAAAAGTCACAGTTTAAAAAGACTTAAAAGAAACTGTGGCCAAGGGTAAAGTCTGTTGAAGTGTTTTATGTTTAGAATGATCAAAATTTAAAGCTGCTCCAAAATAAAAATACGATAAAACCTTGGTTTGGGAGCATAATTCATTCCGGAAACATGCTTGTAATCAAAGCACTAGGAAGTATATCAAAGCGAGTTGTGATCATGTGACGTTTGGCATCACATGGTACTCGTATTGCAAGACATTGTTCGTTTATCAAGTTAAAATGTATTAGAAATGTTTGCCGGTCTTGCGGAACACTCACAAAACAAGTTACTCGCAATCTACAGTTCTATATTTGAAATAATGAGAGCCTTTCCTTACTTACTATATTAAGATTTATTATATACATGAGTGACCGACATTTTCTTCTTAAGCAATGAAGTAACAGGTGACATCTGTAAAGTATTGGTGAGAAAATAAAGCACTCTGGGAATGATCCTAAAGAAGAGTTTCAAGAATAGAAAAAAGGAAAATGGGCCAAATGAAGCTCAAAATACCTCATTGTAGAAGGGCATTGCTGCCTTGGCAGTCAAAAAGTTTATATTCTTCTTGCCATATTTGTGAAGGAAAATGACCTCAAAATAAACAACATATCAAAAGTATGTACACAGCATACCTATACAGATACACACACACACACACACACACACACACACACACACACACACAGACACTCATGCACATATACACATCTATCCCTGCAGTTGCTAGTACTCAGTCCACTCCTGTGGCCTTGTGTGGACTGCACAATATCTTGCATTTCATGACCTGAGAGACACTAGGAAAAAACTGCCTTAAAATTGTTACTTTGTTTTTAAGGAGGTAACAATATAACTACCTAAAATACACCTAAAAGTTCTGTTTACAGTTTCATCTTGAAGGGAAAAAAAAGATAAAGCATCTGTCAAACCTGTGTACTGGTAGTTTTCCTACAGAACAATCTAATGACTTCTCCTTTTGGAAAACTAAATGTTTTGTCTAGCTGGCTTTCTTGTCTTTAAAATATAGCAGAACTCACTGATAGCTTTGCATTGTTCGACAATGCTTAGTTTCAATTAAACTTCTTTCTTAAACAAGATAATGCAGTAAAATATTAAGCCCCGTTCTTCCACTTGAATCCTCAAGAAAAAGAGAGGTAGAAACCCCCTCTTTTAATGTAGTAACCTTGAGGGGGAGAGATCAAGAGATCTGGGGGACAGAAGCTGGGTGGACTGCATTGTAAAAGGTCTTAGCCTTACCAACAAAGCAGGCTGTAGCTATTAGGGGTAGAGATTCAAAACACTTCAACACCTTGAGACAGAGATGGCAGAATGGATATAAATCACTACTGAAGTCAGCCCCTTCTCAAACCAACTAAATAAAATCTAAACTTGCAGACAGGCTAGGTAAATTAGGGATAAACATGTTTTAGAAGGAGTTTAAAGTTTCACAACCTTAAGCAAAAATGATACAGCAATTCAAGTATTAAACCTAGTTCCTGAGACATTTTATTCCAGGTCAAGTTACATTAAGGGAGACGATGTTACATCTGTTTGTATATTTTTTATGGGCTGAATCACTGATTCACTATAAAATTTTAAAAAAAGCAAATAAGAACAAGAGGATAGACTACTATGGACATTATTCATTTTAATGTCTGTAAAGTAAGTAAGCTATCATTTGAATGAAAATATTCCATACCAAAGAACTGTTTAACTTATAAGTCTATTCTACATGGACACTCATGATTTTTATCTAATTTTCAAATGATAAATAAAGAACCAAACAGCATGCAAACATAAAGATATATGAGCGTAGAAGCCTGGTTGGCGG